GAGGACAAGGTTCCTGACGCACAAGGTTGCTGCCTGTGAGGACAAGGTTCCTGGCGGTGAGGACAACGTCTCTGGCGCTGAGAACAAGGTTCCTGGCGCTGAGGACAAGGTTCCTGACGCTGAGGACAAGATTCCTGACGCTGAGGACAAGGTTCCTGGCGGTGAGGACGAGGTTCCTGGCTGGGGACAACGTTCCTGGCGGTGAGGACAAGGTTCCTGACGCTGAGGACAAGGTTCCTGACGCTGAGGACAAGGTTCCTGACGCTGAGGACAAGGTTCCTGACGCTGAGGACAAGGTTGCTGGCTGTGAGGACAAGGTTCCTGGCGGTGAGAACAACGTCTCTGGCCCTGAGAACATGGTTCCTGGCGCTGAGGACAAGGTTCCCGACGCTGAGGACAAGGTTCCTGCCGCTGAGGACAAGGTTCGTGGCGGTGAGGACAAGGTTCCTGGCGCTGAGGACAAGGTTCCTGACGCTGAGGACAAGGTTCCTGACGCTGAGGACAAGGTTCGTGACGCTGAGGACAAGGCTCCTGGCGCTGAGGACAAGGTTCCTGGCGCTGAGGACAAGGTTCCTGGCGGTGAGGACAACGTCTCTGGCGCTGAGAACAAGATTCCTGGCGCTGAGGACAAGGTTCCTGACGCTGAGGACAAGGTTCCTGACGCTTAGGACAAGGTTGCTGGCTGTGAGGACAAGGTTCCTGGCGGTGAGGACAACGTCTCTGGCCTTGAGAACATGGTTCCTGGCGCTGAGGACAAGGTTCCCGACGCTGAGGACAAGACTCCTGACGCTGAGAACAAGGTTCCTGCCGCTGAGGACAAGGTTCGTGGCGGTGAGGACAAGGTTCCTGGCGCTGAGGACAAGGTTCCTGACGCTGAGGACAAGGTTCCTGACGCTGAGGACAAGGTTCCTGACGCTGAGGACAAGGTTCCTGTCGCCGAGGACCAGGTTCCTGACGCTGAGGTGAAGGTTCCTGACGCTGAGGACAAGGTTGCTGCCTGTGAGGACAAGGTTCCAGGCGGTGAGGACAACGTCTCTGGCGCTGAGAACAAGGTTCCTGGCGCTGAGGACAAGATTCCTGACGCTCAGGACAAGGTTCCTGACGCTGAAGACAAGGTTCCTGACGCTGAGAACAAGGTTGCTGACGCCGAGGACAAGGTTCCTGACGCTAAGGTGAAGGTTCCTGACGCTGAGGACAAGGTTGTTGGCTGTGAGGACAAGGTTCCTGGCGGTGAGGACAACGTCTCTGGCCCTGAGAACATGGTTCCTGGCGCTGAGGACAAGGTTCCCGACGCTGAGGACAAGGTTCCTGATGCTGAGGACAAGGTTCCTGCCGCTGAGGACAAGGTTCGTGGCGGTGAGGACAAGGTTCCTGGCGGCGAGGACAAGGTTCCTGACGCTGAGGACAAGGTTCCTGAGGCGGAGGACAAGCTTCCTGACGCTGAGGACAAGGTTCCTGGCGGTGAGGACGAGGTTCCTGGCTGGGGACAAGGTTCCTGGCGCTGAAGACAAGGTTCCTGACACTGACGACAAGGTTCCTGACGCTGAGGACAGGGTTCCTGACGCTGAGGACAAGGTTCCTGATGCTGAGGTGAAGGTTCCTGATGCTGATGACAAGGTTGCTGGCTGTGAGGACAAGGTTCCTGGCGGTGACGACAACGTCTCTGGCGCTGAGAACAAGATTCCTGGCGCTGAGGACAAGGTTCCTGACGCTGAGGACAAGGTTCCTGACGCTGAGGACAAGGTTCGTGACGCTGAGGACAAGGTTCCTGACGCTGAGGAGAAGGTTCCTGGTGGTGAGGACAAGGTTCCTGGCGGTGAGGACAACGTCCCTGGCGCTGAGGACAAGGCTCCTGGCGATGAAGACAAGGTTCCTGACGCACAAGGTTGCTGCCTGTGAGAACAAGGTTCCTGCCGGGGAGGGCAACATCTCTGGCGCTGAGAACAAGGTTCCTGACGCTGAGGACAAGGTTGCTGGCTGTGAGGACAAGGTTCCTGGCGGTGAGGACAACGTCTCTGGCCCTGAGAACATGGTTCCTGGCGCTGAGGACAAGGTTCCCGACGCTGAGGACAAGGTTCCTGACGCTGAGGACAAGGTTCCTGCCGCTGAGGACAAGGTACGTGGCGGTGAGGACAAGGTTCCTGGCGCTGAGGACAAGGTTCCTGACGCTGAGGAAAAAGTTCCTGACGCTGAGGACAAGGTTCGTGACGCTGAGGACAAGGCTCCTGGCGCTGAGGACAAGGTTCCTGGCGCTGACGACAAGGTTCCTGGCGGCGAGGACAAGGTTCCTGACGCTGAGCATAAGGTTCCTGACACTGAGGACAAGGTTCCTGACGCGGAGGACAAGGTTCCTGACGCTGAGGACAAGGTTGCTGGGGGTGAGGACAAGGTTCCTGGCGGTGAGGACAACGTTCCTGGCGCTGAGGACAAGGTTCCTGGCGCTGAAGACAAGGTTCCTGACGCCGAGGACAAGGATCCTGACACTGAGGACAAGGTTCCTGACGCTGAGGACAAGGTTCCTGACGCCGAGGACAAGGTTCCTGACGAGGTGAAGGTTCCTGACGCTGAGAACAAGGTTGCTGCCTGTGAGGACAAGGTTCCTGGCGGTGAGGACAACGTCTCTGGCGCTGAGAACAAGGTTCCTGGCGCTGAGGACAAGATTCCTGACGCTGAGGACAAGGTTCCTGACGCTGAGGACAAGGTTGCTGACGCCGAGGACAAGGTTCCTGACGCTGAGGTGAAGGTTCCTGACGTTGAGGACAAGGTTGCTGGCTGTGAGGACAAGGTTCCTGGCGGTGAGAACAACGTCTCTGGCCCTGAGAACATGGTTCCTGGCGCTGAGGACAAGGTTCCCGACGCTGAGGACAAGGTTCCTGACGCTGAGGACAAGGTTCCTGCCGCTGAGGACAAGGTTCGTGGCGGTGAGGACAAGGTTCCTGGCGCTGAGGACAAGGTTCCTGGCGCTGAGGACAAGGTTCCTGACGCTGAGGACAAGGTTCCTGAGGCGGAGGACAAGATTCCTGACGTTGAGGACAAGGTTCCTGACGCACAATGTTGCTGCCTGTGAGGACAAGGTTCCTGGCGGTGAGGACAACGTCTCTGGCGCTAAGAACAAGGTTCCTGTCGCTGAGGACAAGGTTCCTGACGCTGAGGACAAGGTTCCTGACGCCGAGGACAAGGTTCCTGACGCTGAGGTGAAGGTTCCTGACGCTGAGGACAAGGTTGCTGGCTGTGAGGACAAGGTTGCTGGCGGTGAGGACAACGTCTCTGGCGCTGAGAACAAGGTTCCTGGGGCTGAGGACAAGATTCCTGACGCCGAGGACAAGGTTCCTGACGCTGAGGACAAGGTTCCTGACGCTGAGGACAAGGTTCCTGACGCCGAGGACAAGGTTCCTGACGCTGAGGTGAAGGTTCCTGACGCTGAGGACAAGGTTGCTGCCTGTGAGGACAAGGTTCCTTGCGGTGAGGACAACGTCTCTGGCCCTGAGAACATGGTTCCTGGCGCTGAGGACAAGGTTCCCGACGCTGAGGACAAGGTTCCTGACGCTGAGGACAACGTTCCTGCCGCTGAGGACAAGGTTCGTGGCGGTGAGGACAAGGTTCCTGGCGCTGAGGACAAGGTTCCTGACGCTGAGGACAAGGTTCCTGAGGCGGAGGACAAGCTTCCTGACGCTGAGGACAAGGTTCCTGGCGGTGAGGACGAGGTTCCTGGCTGGGGACAAGGTTCCTGGCGCTGAAGACAAGGTTCCTGACACTGACGACAAGGTTCCTGACGCTGAGGACAGGGTTCCTGACGCTGAGGACAAGGTTCCTGACGCTGAGGTGAAGGTTCCTGATGCTGACGACAAGGTTGCTGGCTGTGAGGACAAAGTTCCTGGCGGTGACGACAACGTCTCTGGCGCTGAGAACAAGATTCCTGGCGCTGAGGACAAGGTTCCTGACGCTGAGGACAAGGTTCCTGACGCGGAGGACAAGGTTCGTGACGCTGAGGACAAGGTTCCTGACGCTGAGGAGAAGGTTCCTGGCGGTGAGGACATGGTTCCTGGCGGTGAGGACAACGTCCCTGGCGCTGAGGACAAGGCTCCTGGCGATGAAGACAAGGTTCCTGACGCACAAGGTTGCTGCCTGTGAGAACAAGGTTCCTGGCGGGGAGGGCAACATCTCTGGCGCTGAGAACAAGGTTCCTGGCGCTGAGGACAAGGTTCGTGGGGGTGAGGACAAGGTTCCTGACGCTGAGGACAAGGTTCCTGACGCTGAGGACAAGGTTCCTGAGGCGGAGGACAAGATTCCTGACGCTGAGGACAAGGTTCCTGACGCACAAGGTTGCTGCCTGTGAGGACAAGGTTCCTGTCGCTGAGGACAAGGTTCCTGACGCTGAGGACAAGGTTCCTGACGCCGAGGACAAGGTTCCTGACGCTGAGGTGAAGGTTCCTGACGCTGAGGACAAGGTTGCTGGCTGTGAGGACAAGGTTGCTGGCGGTGAGGACAACGTCTCTGGCGCTGAGAACAAGGTTCCTGGGGCTGAGGACAAGATTCCTGACGCCGAGGACAAGGTTCCTGACGCTGAGGACAAGGTTCCTGACGCTGAGGACAAGGTTCCTGACGCTGAGGTGAAGGTTCCTGACGCTGAGGACAAGGTTGCTGCCTGTGAGGACAAGGTTCCTTGCGGTGAGGACAACGTCTCTGGCCCTGAGAACATGGTTCCTGGCGCTGAGGACAAGGTTCCCGACGCTGAGGACAAGGTTCCTGACGCTGAGGACAACGTTCCTGCCGCTGAGGACAAGGTTCGTGGCGGTGAGGACAAGGTTCCTGGCGCTGAGGACAAGGTTCCTGACGCTGAGGACAAGGTTCCTGAGGCGGAGGACAAGCTTCCTGACGCTGAGGACAAGGTTCCTGGCGGTGAGGACGAGGTTCCTGGCTGGGGACAAGGTTCCTGGCGCTGAAGACAAGGTTCCTGACACTGACGACAAGGTTCCTGACGCTGAGGACAGGGTTCCTGACGCTGAGGACAAGGTTCCTGACGCTGAGGTGAAGGTTCCTGATGCTGACGACAAGGTTGCTGGCTGTGAGGACAAAGTTCCTGGCGGTGACGACAACGTCTCTGGCGCTGAGAACAAGATTCCTGGCGCTGAGGACAAGGTTCCTGACGCTGAGGACAAGGTTCCTGACGCGGAGGACAAGGTTCGTGACGCTGAGGACAAGGTTCCTGACGCTGAGGAGAAGGTTCCTGGCGGTGAGGACATGGTTCCTGGCGGTGAGGACAACGTCCCTGGCGCTGAGGACAAGGCTCCTGGCGATGAAGACAAGGTTCCTGACGCACAAGGTTGCTGCCTGTGAGAACAAGGTTCCTGGCGGGGAGGGCAACATCTCTGGCGCTGAGAACAAGGTTCCTGGCGCTGAGGACAAGGTTCGTGGGGGTGAGGACAAGGTTCCTGACGCTGAGGACAAGGTTCCTGACGCTGAGGACAAGGTTCCTGAGGCGGAGGACAAGATTCCTGACGCTGAGGACAAGGTTCCTGACGCACAAGGTTGCTGCCTGTGAGGACAAGGTTCCTGTCGCTGAGGACAAGGTTCCTGACGCTGAGGACAAGGTTCCTGACGCCGAGGACAAGGTTCCTGACGCTGAGGTGAAGGTTCCTGACGCTGAGGACAAGGTTGCTGGCTGTGAGGACAAGGTTGCTGGCGGTGAGGACAACGTCTCTGGCGCTGAGAACAAGGTTCCTGGGGCTGAGGACAAGATTCCTGACGCCGAGGACAAGGTTCCTGACGCTGAGGACAAGGTTCCTGACGCTGAGGACAAGGTTCCTGACGCCGAGGACAAGGTTCCTGACGCTGAGGTGAAGGTTCCTGACGCTGAGGACAAGGTTGCTGCCTGTGAGGACAAGGTTCCTTGCGGTGAGGACAACGTCTCTGGCCCTGAGAACATGGTTCCTGGCGCTGAGGACAAGGTTGCCGACGCTGAGGACAAGGTTCCTGACGCTGAGGACAACGTTCCTGCCGCTGAGGACAAGGTTCGTGGCGGTGAGGACAAGGTTCCTGGCGCTGAGGACAAGGTTCCTGACGCTGAGGACAAGGTTCCTGAGGCGGAGGACAAGCTTCCTGACGCTGAGGACAAGGTTCCTGGCGGTGAGGACGAGGTTCCTGGCTGGGGACAAGGTTCCTGGCGCTGAAGACAAGGTTCCTGACACTGACGACAAGGTTCCTGACGCTGAGGACAGGGTTCCTGACGCTGAGGACAAGGTTCCTGACGCTGAGGTGAAGGTTCCTGATGCTGACGACAAGGTTGCTGGCTGTGAGGACAAAGTTCCTGGCGGTGACGACAACGTCTGTGGCGCTGAGAACAAGATTCCTGGCGCTGAGGACAAGGTTCCTGACGCTGAGGACAAGGTTCCTGACGCGGAGGACAAGGTTCGTGACGCTGAGGACAAGGTTCCTGACGCTGAGGAGAAGGTTCCTGGCGGTGAGGACATGGTTCCTGGCGGTGAGGACAACGTCCCTGGCGCTGAGAACAAGGCTCCTGGCGATGAAGACAAGGTTCCTGAGGCGGAGGACAAGATTCCTGACGCTGAGGACAAGGTTCCTGACGCACAAGGTTGCTGCCTGTGAGGACAAGGTTCCTGGCGGTGAGGACAACGTCTCTGGCGCTGAGAACAAGGTTCCTGGCGCTGAGGACAAGGTTCCTGACGCTGAGGACAAGATTCCTGACGCTGAGGACAAGGTTCCTGGCGGTGAGGACGAGGTTCCTGGCTGGGGACAACGTTCCTGGCGGTGAGGACAAGGTTCCTGACGCTGAGGACAAGGTTCCTGACGCTGAGGACAGGGTTCCTGACGCTGAGGACAAGGTTCCTGTCGCTGAGGTGAAGGTTCCTGACGCTGAGGACAAGGTTGCTGGCTGTGAGGACAAGGTTCCTGGCGGTTAGGACAACGTCTCTGGCGCTGAGAACAAGTTTCCTGGCGCTGAGGACAAGGTTCCTGATGCTGAGGACAAGGTTCCTGGCGGTGAGGACAAGGTTCCTGACGCTGAGGACAAGGTTCCTGACGCTGAGGACAAGGTTCGTGACGCTGAGGACAAGGCTCCTGGCGCTGACGACAAGGTTCCTGGCGCTGAGGACAAGGTTCCTGGCGGTGAGGACAAGGTTCCTGACGCTGAGAATAAGGTTCCTGACGCGGAGGACAAGGTTCCTGACGCTGAGGACAAGGTTGCTGGGGGTGAGGACAAGGTTCCTGGCGGTGAGGACAACGTCCCTGGCGCTGAGGACAAGGTTCCTGGCGCTGAGGACAAGGTTCCTGACGCCGAGGACAAGGTTCCTGACGCTGAGGACAAGGTTCCTGACGCTGAGGACAAGGTTCCTGACGGCGAGGACAAGGTTGCTGGGGGTGAGGACAAGGTTCCTGGCGGTGAGGACAACGTCCCTGGCGCTGAGGACAAGGTTCCTGGCGCTGACGACAAGATTCCTGACGCCGAGGACAAGGTTCCTGACGCTGAGGACAAGGTTCCTGACGCGGAGGACAAGGTTCCTGACGCCGAGGACGAGGTTCCTGACGCTGAGGTGAAGGTTCCTGACGCTGAGGACAAGGTTGCTGGCTGTGAGGACAAGGTTCCTGGCGGTGAGGACAACGTCTCTGGCGGTGAGGACAACGTCTCTGGCGCTGAGAACAAGATTCCTGGCGCTGAGGACAAGGTTCCTGACGCTGAGGACAAGGTTCCTGACGCTGAGGACAAGGTTCGTGACGCTGAGGACAAGGCTCCTGGCGCTGAGGACAAGGTTCCTGGCGCTGAGGACAAGGTTCCTGGCGGTGAGGACAAGGTTCCTGACGCTGAGGATAAGGTTCCTGACGCTGAGGACAAGGTTCCTGACGCGGAGGACAAGGCTCCTGACGATGAGGACAAGGTTGCTGGCTGTGAGGACAAGGTTCCTGGCGGTTAGGACAACGTCTCTGGCGCTGAGAACAAGTTTCCTGGCGCTGTGGACAAGGTTCCTGATGCTGAGGACAAGGTTCCTGACGCTTAGGATAAGGTTCGTGACGCTGAGGACAAGGTTCCTGGCACTGAGGACAAGGTTCCTGGCGCTGAGGACTAGGTTCCTGGCGGTGAGGACAAGGTTCCTGGCGCTGAGGACAAGGTTCCTGACGCTGAGGACAAGGTTCCTGACGCGGAGGACAAGGTTCCTGACCCTGAGGGCAAGGTTCCTGACGCTGAGGACAGGGTTCCTGACGCTGAGGACAAGGTTCCTGACGCTAAGGTGAAGGTTCCTGACGCTGAGGACAAGGTTGCTGGCTGTGAGGACAAGGTTCCTGGCGGTTAGGACAACGTCTCTGGCGCTGAGAACAAGTTTCCTGGCGCTGAGGACAAGGTTCCTGATGCTGAGGACAAGGTTCCTGACGCTGAGGATAAGGTTCGTGACGCTGAGGACAAGGCTCCTGGCGCTGAGGACAAGGTTCCTGGCGCTGACGACAAGGTTCCTGGCGCTGAGGACAAGGTTCCTGGCGGTGAGGACAAGGTTCCTGACGCTGAGAATAAGGTTCCTGACGCGGAGGACAAGGTTCCTGACGCTGAGGACAAGGTTGCTGGGGGTGAGGACAAGGTTCCTGGCGGTGAGGACAACGTCCCTGGCGCTGAGGACAAGGTTCCTGGCGCTGAAGACAAGGTTCCTGACGCCGAGGACAAGGTTCCTGACGCTGAGGGCAAGGTTCCTGACGCTGAGGACAAGGTTCCTGACGCCGAGGGCAAGGTTCCTGACGCTGAGGTGAAGGTTCCTGACGCTGAGGAGAAGGTTGCTGGCTGTGAGGACAAGGTTCCTGGCGGTGAGGACAACGTCTCTGGCGATGAGAACAAGTTTCCTGGCGCTGAGGACAAGGTTCCTGATGCTGAGGACAAGGTTCCTGACGCTGAGGATAAGGTTCGTGACGCTGAGGACAAGGTTCCTGGCACTGAGGACAAGGTTCCTGGCGCTGAGGACAAGGTTCCTGGCGCTGAGGACAAGGTTCCTGGCGCTGAGGACAAGGTTCCTGACGCTGAGAACAAGGTTTCTGACGCTGCGAACAAGGTTCCTGACGCTGAGGTCAAGGTTCCTGACGCTGGGGACAATGTTCCTGACGCTGAGAAGAAGGTTCCTGACGCTGAGAACAAGGTTCCTGACGCTGAGAATAAGGTTCCTGACGCTCAGGGCAAGGTTCCTGGCGGTGAGGACAAGGTTTCCGGCGCTGACGACAAGGTTCCTGGCGCTGACGACAAGGTTCCTGGCGGTGAGGACAAGTTTCCTGGCGGTGAGGACAAGGTTCCTGGCGGTGAGGACACGCACCCAAACTTGTAAGTTATGATGTAGTTTTTAACTGACAGGTAGAGAAGCGAGAGAACTTAAACTGTACCATGCATTAAACATAGTCTTAATAAACCTATTATTAATATATTATTTTATGAGAATCTAGTTTTCCGTGAAATTGCTTTTTTAAGACACGTGAATTGTGAAACGGCTTTTTTTCCGTTGTGAAACGTGATCCATACCCCCCTTTCCCACCGTCTTAAAACATTAGCCTGTTCGCAAGCCCGAAAATTCGTTGTAAGGAAACCGGAAATTTGGGGCCTCCTGGAGTCCCGAGCTTGTTTCTATATTGTAAGCTCAAAGTCTACCTCGGTCTGCTTCACTTTCAGTCCGGTTCTATCTATCTATTCATAATCGGTAAGCAGTCACTGAAAAGCCCTGATAGGGAGTGTGCTGTGAAATATCTGTGTATATTCAGCGGCTTTGTAATTGGATTTGCATTTCTTTTCCAGGAATGCCAGCGAACTCGATTATAGTCCAGTATCACACAGAAGTTTTATCATGTACTGCAGCTGTGATATTTTATATCCAGTTTGTTGACCTTTAAAAAACCTTTTCCCGGTTTTAATCGTGGATAGGCAATATTTGCATATGTATTCACGACTGACTGTGCCACGCATAAATTACAAATATTACAGTTTAATTGATGCAAAAGCGCAAACGGGTGTGACTTGGGCGGCGCCAAGCTTTTCGCTGAAGTTGCGTCTTCCACAATAGCACGCAAGGGCCCATGGGAATGCTCTAACTAAAATTCCAAACGTTAAACGCGTGATGAATGACTGGGGAAGAGGCAGGACTCGTACCGTAACGGATTGTGTAACTTCAGTCTGAAGGAGGATGGCTCTGGGTACGAAATTATACTTGTCTTTGATTGAAAGAATTTTTCAGGAATAAGTTGGGTATAAAATTTATGCCTTTATGAAGTGTAACGAAATACTTCGCCACAATATACTATGAAAATAAAGTAAAACTTACGTCACTTGATAAAATTATTTCGTTTCTAGTAAAAAGTATTCTCACAAAAATTGACTTCATTGCATGCAAATTTCTCAAAAATAATATACTCAAGTAAAGTAACGAAGTACATCGATTTACTTCGTTACAACTAACCACTGGCGAATATATACACACGTAAACCATGTTTGTGGTGTTACTCTGAGTATGCATCCACACCGGGCAAGCTGAAAAGTTTGCCTGACCAAGGTGGGAATCGAACCCGCGACCTTTAGCCTGTTAATTTAGGACTGACTAGTCCAATCATGATTAATAGACGTAGAGTGGTCCAATGCTGTACCAACTGAGCTACGAGGTCGAGTCCACAACTTACTAACCGATCAGTTCGAGTTCGGGCGAGTCAAGTCGGTCAGGCAAACTTTTCAGCTTACCTGGTGTGGATGTATACTCGAGTCACCTGAGTACTCAAACAGACACAAAATGTAAACTATGTTTTTAATTCTATGTAAACCATGTAATTAATTCTATTTCATTTTATTTCATCAAGTTTCCTTACTTCCAGGTTTACTAGAGGGGTTTAGATTGGACCCCGCTTAATACGCATTTGATTGGAACATGCAATTAAAATAATTAAATAGGCATTTGATGATAAATAAATACGCATTTGATGATAAATAAATACGCATTTGATTAAAACGCGACCTCGACCGAACGTTAACGAACAAACTCCGCATCGCAAAATCCGCTCTTTAACAAATTTGAGCTCAATTCTAAAGTATTTTAACAAATAAGGCAGCGCGACAAAAATATCGAGTAGCGTCAGGAAGTGAAAAAACTGAAGTATCGGGCCCAATGAAAACCCCGCTGAACCGACTCCCCCCTCCTCCATCAAAAATCAAATGGTCGGGGTGTTACTGTATACTTCCATATTGCAAATTTTGTAATCAAATCAAAGTCCCTCTTGAAAATCGGATCTGACTTGTTGTAGGGGTGTGAGTTGAATGTAGTTTGACCAGACCGAAATTCTATTTTAGTTTTACAAAATCAAACATTCCTCAAATTTTCAGCATCACAGGATGTCAACATGAAATTGGATATCGTGTATGGTCGTCATGCCATTGATCTTGTGACTGTCTCAAGGTATTAATATCACGATTGTTTTGGCGAATGCTTCACTGATTTCCAAAATGTCTGAGGTAGTACCGGTGTTGTGAAACTTACATTTGGCTTTTTAGCGAACAAGATTCGCAGTGGAATTGCAGAACGTTTGAAAGATAGCGACGTCACGGACGAAGAATGTCGGCGCTTGATCGTCAGAGAACTTGACGATATCAAAAGCAAGCTAGATGGCTTGGCAAGAAAGGATTTACTGAGTAGCCTTTGTTTTCTACAAGAAGGAGTCAATAGGTTATATCAGTCCCTATTTCAAGTGGATTCAAGTGAGAATACAGCGGAATCGTCCGAACAAGCGGCCTTAGTTGAAGCTCCGTCATTCAGAGACACTGGTCCTGATTTGCCTATCAATGAAGGCATTGCTCTTATAAATGCCATCACGTCATTGAAAATACGTTCCAAGAAACGCTTTAAATCCGCCATAGAATCGTTTAAACTCGCGCGTGAAAAAGCGACCGAAGCATTCTGTAACGAAGCGTTGTCCATCGAAGACCGAATTCAAGCGTCGCAAGTCAGAATGATGGCGAGAATTCTGGAAAATTTGGAAGACCCAGAAGCAAGCGAAAGTGATTGCTTACAGTACCTTAAGCAACTTCATGATATCGGAGCTATTCGAGAAATATTTTCCGTTCTGATTGACGGAGGAATGAAGTCGATGTTCAATAAAACGAAGCGACTTAACAATGCCACGTCAGTTCAAGTCATAAATCAAATATTGTTTGAGTTCGTCAGAAAGTTCACGAAACAGCCATTGCTCACGAGGATGTTTGCCTGGCCAACGATTTTGCTCGGTGAAAAAACTTACCATCCCGTGCTTGGAGAAGATCGCATTATTGAAAAACTTAAAGGGTCTGGTATGCGAGTAATGTCACTGGGTTCAGATTTTACATTTGATGATGAAATTGACCCTCTATATCGTTCTGTTGTGAACAGCAAAGGAGACATCGTTGCACTGACTGCATATACTTTTAAAGTTTTTAAACGTTCAGAGGAAAGTCGTATTCTATGTGAAGCTCCCAGGGAACAGCATACGTCAAAATACTACGTTATAAAGACGATGAATATCGATGCCGAAGATAACCTATATGTCATCACTGCATTCCAAGAAAAAAATGAGGAATCATGGAGTTTTAAGTTGTTTATCTTTGATGAAAATGGAAACAAAAAGGTTGACTCTCCGTTACCTTTCCGTGAAAGCTCTTATGTAGAAGTGTACATGGCAATAAACAAGGACGGGAAGATTGCTATTTTAAATCGCGGGCAGAGAATCCGGTATATTGGTAACGTATGTGTGGAGCTGAATTCGTTTAAAGTCGACAAAAGTTTTTCATTCAGGGAATTATTGATCCGTTCAGTACGATTCTCAAGTTTTGATGAAACAATAATTGCCGAAGGCGACTTTGCTGTTTATATCTACACAGAAAACGGAGAGTTACAACGCAAAATTGAGGCACCCACACGATATGTATTTATTTGGTCCATTGCAATAAATCACGTCACAAAACGCATCCTAGTTAAAATAAGTGAGTCATCAATAAATAGTCTGCTGAGTTTCTCAGAAACTGGGGAACTACAAGACAGTCTATGTTTGGGGTCCAGCGAGTGGGTTAGATATGCGGAGCTAAAATCACATCCAAATGGTCCAGTTGCTTTAGTTGGTGAAACACGAGCAACTTTACTTCAACTGTAGTAAAATTACTTACATGGATGAAAATGTCAGTAAAAAATGAGCTGAACTTACGAACAATTCATTGCGTATGCAGTTTTGACTTTGTAAGTTATTTCATAAGTAAACACAGCGAACAATGAACATTAAACTGATGAACTTATTCAGATGAACTTAACTAATTGTGCAATATAGTTTTGTATTTGTAAATTGTAAAAATATTAATAATACATGAAGAAAATTAAAAAAAAATCAATGTCAAATTGTACATCCACATATATAGAATTAACGGGTCCTGATTTACATAAACTTTCCCCTCGATTTTCTCAGAAAAAATGTGTGCAGTATGCAATATGTCAAGGATTTCAAAGGACAAGGAGATTTCAGCCATGTTGGTTGAAATTCGAATTGCAAACAAGGAAAATCCGGTAAGATCCTCATGACACTCACGAATATATTTCTGTTTGACCTTGGGCACATTCGAGCAAATATATCAGAAACAGTGGCGTAAATTCACTTTTTCCGGTGGGGGGGGGGGCAAAGCCTCCCATATTTCCAACAAAACCTTCAAATTTCTGACCCCCCTATTTGCACTCTAAAAGGTTGTTTTTTGCCCTCTTTTAGGTCAAATTTTCCGTAAAGGTGAGGGGTGGGCGGCGGTCGCCTCCCAGCCCCCCCCCCGAGATTTCCGCCACTGACCAGAGAATAATAAGTTTTTAGACGTTCTCTAGTTTTTAAATATTTATTATTACGAGCTTTCGACTGGTCTCCTTCGCAGCCTGTTCGCGGGTGCGATTTTCGACTGCCAGTCTGCAGTCTTCAATGGGTGGATTACAATGAGAGTGTGACAATTACAACGGTTTACAATTACATATAGATACAAAATGACAGAAATATGACAGTTCCGCGTACAAGATCAATGACTTAAATTACAAGAAAGCGGTATTGTTCCGGTAAATGTTTTGAATTGTTGTCAGAGTTTTTTGTGCATGCAGTGTGCCATGATTCAAGTGTTTCTCTGTGCCGATAGTTGCCTTTGTCAATTATTTTCCCGCTATTGAAATTTATTCAATGGTTGTTTGTCCAAGCGTGATTAGCAATATTTGAACCACTTTTACAGAGCTCTACATTTCTTCTGTGTTCCTTTCGCCTGGTGTTAAACGCTCTGCCGAAGGAAAGATGTCCAGGTCAGAGAGCGTCTTACCCAACAAGTGCAGTTGACCGTTGCACAGTGTTGACTCCAGGGCTTCACTGACAAGGCGGACAAAGTCACCATGCAACAGGAAGGCGTAGTTTTTTTTCTGTCTGTTCGACCTGGGGAGAGAGGAGTTCGTGTTTGGTTTTGAGTCTCTGAAACGGTATTCTCTGCATTTCATAGGAGATTCGGCTCGCCCGTTTTCAGGTGTTCGGCTGCGGGCTGACCATCTCCACGCAGGCTTAGCATTTCGAGGCTAGCTCTGCGGTTGAATACTTATCTCACCAAAGCACACTTTCTCACGAAACATAATTTCTTGCGCAGCAAAATGCTATTGGGACTACAGCCCCCGACACGGGGCTAGAATTATCCTACAAGGGGGCTGTAGTCCCCCTGTTCATCCGCCACCCCTGAAATAGAACCGCCTTATTAATATCACATCCACTCAAGTGGGGGGTCAAGGGTCTGTGTGAAGGATAAAGGACGGCTTTTATATTATTTATATTGTTTTATATTGGTTTTTATAATGGTCAGAGAACTCATTCACATAAAATCATAGATATAATGAAATGCGTTGACAGCTATTCTGTCTCTTAAACTTTCTTTGTTGTTTCAGTTGCCCTCAGTTCAATGGTTGCCCACCACTTGAGTAAAATTATGTTCAAACAACACGTGATTGAAACCCAAGAACATCAAGAATGCATTGCATTGATTGTACATGTATCTTCATGCTTTGAAAACTCAATTTTTCTCCCAAATGGTATCTTTTACCCAAATTTAACGTTTGCAAAGCACTCATTGACAAGGGGATTGATAAAGAGCACTTATTAAAAACGCTATTAAAATTAATAATTAAAGCATTGCCGATTATGTGCTGAGTATTTCTCATATACACACATAAAAATCTCACAACTTGTCAACAAGGTGTGTTCGCAACGGGCTTGTAGCAAGCTTGTCAACAAGTCGTAACAATGCTGCTGTTTTATCAAGTTGCTGGAAGCTTCATCGTCAAGACGTTGTAACAATGCTGTAATTTTATCGAGTTGCTGCAAGCTTGTCAACAAGTTGTAAACAATGCTGTTATTTTATGAAGTTGCTGCGAGCTTGTCAATAAGTCGTAACAATGCTGTTATTTTATCAAGTTGCTAAAAGCTGGCCAACAAGTTGTAACAATCCTGCTATTTTATCAAGTTGCTGCAAGCTTGTCAACAAGTTGTAACAATACTGTTACTTTATCACATCACAAAACGTATTCTAATTAAAACGTATCAGTCACCACAACGTAGACTGCTGAGTTTCTCAGACACTGGATGGAGAACTAACAGACAGTTTATGTTTGGGGTCCAGCGCAATAATGATAGGTCATACGCTAATTTCTCACCCAAATTAATGGTCCAGTTGCTTTAGTTAGTCCAACAGGAACTGCTTTACTTCAACTATAGTAAAATCACTCACATCAATGAGAATGATAAAAAGGGGCTGAAGTTACTATATGAACAATTAAACTGATGCGTGCTAAAACTGGTTTTAACTTTTTTATTTTTATAGATGAAAATAAATCGCTTATTAAAAGGCAATATATTCATTAAAACCTGATGACTGAGGTGTTCCACCCCTCCCCCAGACACACTCACCCCTTTCGCGCCGGCCCTGTATTTGACTTGATATAACACCCTAATCACTCTTAATCCCTAATGATCACACAATCCCACACCTACGCTGATGCCATCACGCTTGTATATATAGACCCAGGTTAGCTTTTGTAAATTAGTCTGATGATGAATTTGTAATAAATTCGAAATATTCCGGTTGAATCTTGTCTCTTCTCATCTCAAATATTTTGTTCAAGATGGAACTTTTATTCGGAATATGTTTTATATTTTACAACTGCTCAAAGCCTTACGTTTCACAAGCAATAATTGAGCGTTCGCGTCCATGTTCAGTCAGACATACAACCTCTCGTCTTCGGATTGTATTTCTGATACCACACGGTGACACGGCCACGCAATGCAAAAGACTTAGACGTGAGATATACAGTATGGGTTCACCACTAGCCTAGGGCTATATCTATATTTCAGAGCTTTTTCATATGAGAAGACAGGAACCTAGGCAATTTGGGAGCGGGGTGAAGGAAGAACGAAAATAAACTGCCATCTGCCGAGTAAAGGCTCTGGATCTAGGCTGGTTCGGCACATGATTAGAGCGACGTTTTAACTACAATATTGGACATAACCCTTGAGACCATTCCAGCCAATATTGCAAAGTTAATGCACATCGATAAAACAAACTTCATCAGCCCCCCCCCCTCCCCTCCCCACTCCTCCAGCTCAATGTTGTAAACAACGCCGAAACAACTTTTGGTAAAGCCTGGTTCACATTGATCGTAAACATCGGCGATGCCCATTGTCGGTGGTCATTGATGCATAAAATGTTTTGTGCATTTTCTTCTTCGTTGCTCACAGACAATGGATCGCAGAACATCGCCGATCAATGTGAACCAGGCTTAATTTACCATGACACAAGCTAAACATTGAGTTGGGGGAGCGGAGTGTTAAGAAGCGCTACATTATTTAACATGGAATTTATCAGAAGAGGTATGCGAATTTTGTTTAAACAAAATAGGTAGTCACAACTAGTTATGTCCAAGAATGTTTGGTGTTAGATAAAAATTGTCATCATGATATTTTTGACAGTGGTCAAAGTTTCGTTCCTCGAAACAGCACGTTATGTTATAACTGGATTAATTGCGGAGCTTCATGATTCATTTCCAATACCGGTATACCTGTCATAGGCTTAATACGCATTTGATTGGTTAGTCGGGTAGATTAAATGCATCTGATTGGTTAATGGTAACGGCAGTAGAATTCACAATCTGAGCCTCTCCAATATTAAAAGTAACCCGCCGATTCTCTTAATATTAACTAAATATGATAAGTTATAATATAGTATGGGCCTCCATTCTAGCCAGCTCTAGCGGAGTTGATCCGCCAGTAAGATATTGTTAATAAATGAATAAACATAATTAATGCAGAAATGTCAATCAAAACGTATACGTCGCAGGTATTAGGTACAATATGTAGAGATCTATATAGTGTGTCATGATTATAAGTTCGTGTTAGAATATAGGTGATTAAAGAGAGACTGTTTTACGAGATTGTATTGGCAAATGATACTGTGATTTGAACGGTGTGTTGAATCATGTTGTTTTCATACTGAGCCTCTGACGTCATTCCAAACAATATTTTAGTGTTTGTGTATATGACTAAGCCAGCTCTTTTAATGTATTGAAATAAGTCACGGTTATTGACTCGGAGAAATGTTGTTTATTTTAGGATACAGAGTAGAGAAACACTGCGATCGAAATCCAGTTCATAAAGAGATTATAATGAAGTTACAACATAAGTAACTCTCATCAACAACATTTTAGTTGCGTTAAATATCGTTTGACTTCTGTATTACACATGCAGATATATTTCAATGCATTAAAAATATCCCATTATGTCGGCAGTTTACCTCCCACATGCATAATTATTTATCAGAGAATGTTACATAACTGTCTGTTTATCAAATAAAAAGGGTGAATTGCGCACATCATATAAATGTGTGTCATTCTCCTCCAACATAAAACTTTTCGATTGTGAAGAGGCTGACTGTTATGGTTATGTCACGTGGTCTTGCATATCAAACATTGTTGCAGTCTTAAAACAAGGTCACGACACGAATGTCTGCAAGACAAGTAACTTTATAATACTGAAATACATTCTAAATAAGATAATAAAACACTGTATATTCATATTAATTAACAACCCAAAATTGTATTACTAACATAACGTTGACTAAGTGTTGGGTTTTCAGTTTGAATACGAGACAATAATAAATGAGTTTCATTTGAATGAAATTCGATGTCATGCAGGGTCATGCATGCATGTATTGATCTTCTGACTGTCTCAAGGTATTGATATAACGCATATTTTGGTGAATGCTTCAGTGATTTCAAAATGTCTGAGGTAGTAACCGGTGTTATGAAACTTACATTTGGCTTTTTAGCGAAAAAGATTCGCAGTGAAATTGCAGAACGTTTGAAAGATGGTGACGTCACCGACGAAGAATGTCGGCGCTTGATTGTCAGAGAACTTGACGATATCAAAAGCAAGTTGGATGGTTTGGCAAGAAGTAGCCTTTTGAGTAGCCTTTGTTTTCTTCAAGACGGAGTCAATCGACTATATCAATCCCTACTTCAAGTGGATTCAAGTGAAAATACAGCAGAATCGACCGAAATAGCGACCTTAGTCGAAGCTGCGTCATTCAGAGACACTGGTCCTGATTCTCCTATCAACGAAGTTATTGCTCTTATAAATGCCATCAAGTTATTGAAAATACGCTCCAAGGAACGCTTTAAATCTGCAATAAAATCGTTCGAACTCGCGGGTGAAAATGCCACCAAAGCATTCTGTAACGAAGCGTTGTCCATCGAAGACAGAATTCAAGCGTCCCAAGTCAGAATGATGGCGAGAATTTTGGAAAATTTGGAAGATCCAGAAGCAAGCGCAAGTGATTGCTTGCAGTACCTTAAACAACTTCATGATATCGGAGCTATTCGAGAAATATTTTCCGTTCTGATTAATGGAGGAATGAAGTCGAGGTTCAATAAAACAAAGCGACTTAACAATGCCTCGTCAGTTCAAGTCATGAACCAAATATTGTTTGAGTTCGTCAGAAAGTTCACGAAATCGTCATTGCTCACGAGCATGTTTGCCTGGCCGACGATTTTGCTCGGTGAAAAAACTTACCGTCTCGTGTTTGGAGAAGAACGCCATATTGAAGAACTTAAAGGGTCTGGTATGCAAGTAATGTCTCTGGATTCAGATTTTACATTTGGTGATGAAATTTACTCTGGATATCATTCTGTTGTAAACAGCAAGAAAGACATCGTTGCAGTGACGTGGGATGAACGTACTTTTAAAGTTTTTAAACGTTCGTCAGCGGAAAGTCGTATTCTATGTGAAACTCCCATGGAAGAACGTGCGTCAAAATGCTGCGTCACGGCGATGGATATCGATGCCGAAAATAACCTATATGTTATCACTAGATTCAAAAAAATCAATGATGAATCATGGAGTTTTAAGTTGTTTATCTTTGATGAGAATGGAAACAAAAAACTTGAATGTTCGTTACCTTTTCATCAAAGACTTTTAAAAGGAGTGCGCATGGCAGTAAACAAGGACGGAAAGATTGCTATTTTAAATCGCGAGGAGAATATCCTGTATATTGGTGACGTATGTGTTGAGCTGAATTCGTTCAAAGTCGACAAAAGTTTTTTTCTCAGGGAGTTATCTATCTGTAATCATGTGCGATTCTCAAGTTTTGATGGAACAATAATTGCTGCAAGCTGGGAAAATGTTTATATCTACACAGAAAATGGAGAGTTACAACATAAAATTGAGAAACCCACAGGATATGGATTTATTGACTCCGTTGCAATAAATCACGTCACAAAACGTATCCTAGTTACAACAAAACGGTCATCATGGTATAGTCTGCTGAGTTTCTCAGAAACTGGGCAACTACAAGACAGTTTATGTTTGGGGTCTAGCGAATGGATTCGATATGCTCAGCTAAAATCTCATCCAAATGATCCAGTTGCTTTAGTTGGTAAAACAGTAGCAACTTTACTTCAACTGTAGTAAAATTACTTACATGGATGAAAATGTTGAAAAATTAGCTGAACTTACGAACAATTAAACTGAAAGACTTAATTGAACTTCATTCATTGCGTATGCAGTTTTGACTTTCTAAGTTATTTCAAAAGCAAACACAGATGACTTGTTAAACGCAATATATTCATTAAAATACAGCGAACAATGAACATTAAACTGATGAACTTAATCAGATAAACGTGCAATATAGTTTTGTATTTGTAAATTGTAAAAATATTAATAATACATGAAGAAAATTCAAAAGAAATCAATGTCAAACCAGTTGTTTGTATCCACACATACGGAATTAACGGTCCTGATTTACATAAACTTTCCCTTCGATTTTCTCAGAAAAAACGGTGGTTGATTGAAATTTGAATTGCAAACAAAGAAAATCCAGTAAGACCCTCATCTTCCACTCACGAATATATTTCTGTTTGACCTTGGGTACATTCGAGCAAATATATCAGAAAATATTTTAAATTTATATCATTTCGCGTCATTACAATGCAAATTCGGGAACATTTCAAGTGCCCCCCGCGCCGGCATTGATCGGCCCCATGCGCTTATACAAAAACGTTTGGGGAGTGCTTTCTCGTTTTAATTTGAATTATTTGAATGACTTTAACAATATTTTATCAAAAATGGGGATCGCCAATTTTTCAAAAACTGTATTGAGCCACTTTAAACAAACAACATTAGCCGTCCATGGATATTTTTACCTCAATTTAGGCCCCAGTTACACGATACCAGATTCACATCGGAGCGACATCAAATTTTACTGCTTCGAGGTGAATTTGGCACTTAAAATTATGATAATATAACATAATTAAACAAAGACTTCAAATACGAAAAGTTGTAATAGCAGACAAGACCTGTCTGATGACAGACAAGACCTGTAAATTGATGTCGCTCCGATACGAATCCGGTATCGTGTAATTGGGGCCTTAAACGATTGCTAAGCACGTCAAAAAGGAGCTCTCATTAAAGGCGCTGAAATAATTAAGCATTGCCATTGTCGATTATGCGCTGAGCGTTTCTCATCTACACACGTAAAATCTCACAACTTATCAACAAGGTGTGTTTGCAACGGGCTTGTAGCAAGCTTGTCAACAAGTTGTAATAATGCTGTTATTTTATCAAATTGCTGCAAGCTTGTCAACAAGTTGTAACAATGCTGTTATTTTATAAAATTGCTGCAAGCTTGTCAACAAGTTGTAACAATGTTGTTATTTTATCAAGTTGTTGCAAGCTTGTCAGCAAGTTGTAACAATGCTGTTATTTTATCAAATTGCTGTAAGCTTGTCAACAAGTTGTAACAATGTTGTTATTTTATCAAGTTGTTGCAAGCTTGTCAGCAAGTTGTAACAATACTGTTATTTTATCAAATTGCTGCAAGCTTGTCAACAAGTTGTAACAATGTTGTTATTTTATCAAGTTGTTGCAAGCTTGTCAGCAAGTTGTAACAATACTGTTATTTTATCAAATTGCTGCAAGCTTGTCAACAAGTTGTAACAATGTTGTTATTTTATCAAGTTGTTGCAAGCTTGTCAACAAGTTGTAACAATACTGTCATTTTATCAAGTTGATGCAAGCTTGTCAACAAGTTGTAACAATGCTGTTATTTTATCAAATTGCTGCAAGCTTGTCAACAAGTTGTAACAATGCTGTTATTTTATCAAATTGCTGCAAGCTTGTCAACAAGTTGTAACAATGTTGTTATTTCATCAAGTTGTTGCAAGCTTGTCAGCAAGTTGTAACAATGCTGTTATTTTATCAAATTGCTGCAAGCTTGTCAACAAGTTGTAAAAATGTTGTTATTTCATCAAGTTGTTGCAAGCTTGTCAGCAAGTTGTAACAATGCTGTTATTTTATCAAATTGCTGCAAGCTTGTCAACAAGTTGTAACAATGTTGTTATTTCATCAAGTTGTTGCAAGCTTGTCAGCAAGTTGTAACAATGCTGTTATTTTATCAAATTGCTGCAAGCTTGTCAACAAGTTGTAATAATGTTGTTATTTTATCAAGTTGTTGCAAGCTTGTCAGCAAGTTGTAACAATGCTGTTATTTTATCAAATTGCTGCAAGCTTGTCAACAAGTTGTAACAATGTTGTTATTTTATCAAGTTGTTGCAAGCTTGTCAGCAAGTTGTAACAACGCTGTTATTTTGACCATAACACGCAAGGTCAATCCATTGCATTTTCAGTACCATATGGATTCTACCAAGTTACTTCGAGTAAACGAAGAAAAAGATCTTGGGGTGATCATTACCGAGAATTTGTCATGGGAATCACATCTTACCTGCATTTGTGCGAAAGCTAACAAATTACTCGGTCTATTAAAGCGAACATGTATTTCAATTATTGACAGTAGTGTTCGAAAGACTCTCTATTTGACGTTGGTTAGGTCCAAGTTAAGTTATGCGACTGAGGTTTGGTCCCCAGCAAGTTCCTTATAGAAAAAAAAGGCTGAGAAGATTCAGAGACGTGCTACGAGATGGATCCTGCGCGTCAAAGCCGGTGAACTATCCTACAAAGAGAGACTTCAGCAACTGGATATGTTCCCTCTTGCGTACGATCGCGAGGTCAAAGACTTAGTATTTTTTTATAAGGCTGTGAACGGATATATCGACATTGATGTCTCAAATTTTGTTAACTTTGTCAATCATGGACGGACACGTAGAGCATTGAGATCCAAATACTTAGAAACTCCGTTGTGTAAAACTTGTACGTACAGTTCGTCGTATTTTAATCGTGTTGTCAAATTATGGAACAGTGTTTGTGTCTCGATCGATCCTTCCAGTTTTACATCGCCATCGTCTTTCAAACTATATATACCTCAAGATGAGGTTTTAGAATATTCTGGAAACAGTATTTGATCCGGACATGACTTGCACCTGGTCACTTAAACGTGATTGTCGCAAATAATAAACTAACTTAACTAATCAAATTAATGTGCATGCATAATATTAATATTTATGAAGTAAATATATGTTATACAGGGTGCCCCAAGGTGGACCAAGGCTGTTGAGATGGCGTGTTGCTTGGGAATTGAATTGCCTTAGCACTCTGCTGAACCCATAAGTGCATAAAAGCTTGACAAAAGTAAATTTACGAATAAAGAAACTGTTTAAGAAGTTGCTTTAAATTCCAAAGAGCAGATAATCGTGAGCTTACAAAGATATTTTAATTTCTTCAATACTAATACTATATGCATCATCTCGATCATATTTACGTGTCTTTGCGTTCAGTTGGTGCTGAGGCGTTCGGATTCTGGCAGTGCGTTGTTTCAGTGGTTTTGGGTTTTTTGGGACACCCTGTATACAGTATACTGCGAATTAAAAGGTTTATGTTAGGAAGAGGAGGGGCACCATGCAATGGACTTTACGTCCAGTTTGTGCCTTGTCCGTTTGAGTACAGCTCTTTAATTGTATGTTAGATGAATATTTGTTGAATTAATTTGTACTCAATAAAGTTTAACAAACAAACAAACAAAACTAATGTTGTTATTTCAACAAGTTGCTGCAAGCTTGTCAACAAGTTGTAACAATGCTGTTATTTTATCAAATTGCTGCAAGCTCGTCAGCAAGTTGTAACAATGCTGTTATTTTATCAAATTGCTGCAAGCTTGTCAACAAGTTGTAATAATGCTGTTATTCTATGAAGGTGCTGCAAGCTTGTCACTCACAACTTGTTAACAAATTGATGAATTGCAGGAAGTCCGTTGAGCTCAACAACCTTGTAGCAAGTCGAACACTTGTGAACAAGCTGGGAACAAGCAGTGTGAACCTATTCTGTTAACAAGTTGTTGGAACAGTATTGCTACAAGTCTGCCGTAAGTTTGTTACAACTTGTGCGTTTTTATGTGTGTATATGAAATGAATAATGTATGAACACATTTGAGAAAACGTAAAATAAAATTTCATAAATCAACCCAAATCGTCCACAAATTATATAGAGACTTTTGGAATCCACTCCCCTCTTCTCCCTGTTTCAATGTTGAAATGCTATTACCTTCCTGACAGAAATATAGCGTGACCCAACAACCGCAAGTGTCCTATTGGCATTCAAAATCTAATGCATGATATTTCAATAAAACAATTTTACAGCACAAAGCAACATTGAAATGAGGGGAGGGGGGTTTGTCTCAAATATTTTGAGGACGATTGCAGAGTATGCCCGTTCGCAGGTTGAATGATTAAACTAAGTCATTTTAGCCATGGTATATTGGCTAACAAGGAGATGCCAGTCTTTGTGAGGTTAGTCGAAGGATTGTAATGAAATAACATGATATTTAAACATTTTGTAATAAATTTCCCGAATTATCTTTATTTTCCCGAGTATTTTCGAATTTTCTTCCTTTTCTAAAGTATTGGGATGGCAATTGCCTCCGCATAGGCTAACTGTATAAAGTGGCAGTGTCAAAGCTAGCCATGGCAATAGATCATACTGTGCAAATTTTTAATGATTTGCATTATTTAATCTGTATCTAGATGCAAGTCTATTCGCATAGCATGACCAGCTGTCATGCATGGCTAGCCTTGCCACTGTATATATTTACTGGTGCTTTTCAACCTGTAGACGTGTAGTCACTTCAAAATATATATCCATAACTCATAAGTATCTACCCTTAAAATTTTAAGTATGAATACATAGCAAAATTGAAGAACAATATTGTCGAATCTCGCGTCATCAAGGAAAAATAACAAATGCCATATAAACTTCGCGTGTATAGAACATCTATAGCAATAATTGCAATGGTAGACCATCCAGCGTCTTGCTTAAGGTGGCTCCATACACTTTTCATCATCAGGAGACTGGTACCTAATCTTCAGTTTTCGCGCGAAAATATTAAAATATATGCAAAAATAAATACAACTTTTTCAGTCTAAAATCCGAACCACAAGTCATGTTTATTTTGATGTTTTGAGTCTTCCTTGTTCTCATTTGTCCTCAAAAAACAAACTTCGTCCTGATTTAGCCCCAGACATTGAACAACTAGTCTTTTTAGAAGACATTTTAAGGTGAAAAATGCAATGTTCAACGTTCAAACTCTTGTGAAAACCGGCGATCGGCCCGATCAGCAAAAAGTCTTTTACTCCAATATTTGGCGATTTATAAGTTCATATCCAGAGTTTTTTGTACTTACAACCGGTAAATGTATTCAAAGTGTTACTAACAGCAAAGGAATTCAGTGAAACAGCAGCATGCGCCGGCTCAAACTGTTTTAAATTGTCAACAACAACATGAAAACAAATATAGAACTATGTAGAGAAGCCAAAAAGTTCATACATGTCACACATAGTATACCAAACGACACAATCACCTGTTTTCTTGGCGTTATCCCGAGTTAGCATGCAAAACTAAATATATTTGCATTTCTAAGCAAGAAAACACAACATATATTTGATATTTCGACGAGACTAAAAACTTTTTTGTGCGAGTTTTTCTGGAGATGCGCCTGCGAAAACATGTACGCGCGCATGTCAATTGATTGATCTTGCAGAGCTCGAAAAACATTTGGCCGAGCGAGTGAGATACCACAATAAAACGGCGTAATTTAAAATTTAAAAAAAATCTGTAGATTGGAAAACTCTAAATCCGCAATTTTTTATTCTGGCTATTCTAATCTACAGAATTTTTTTATTTTCAGGGATAAGATTCCGCATTAAAAGTGAAAGCTATACAGCAGTTAAAAATGGGGTGTCACCGGCAATATTCGGAAAATAAATAATAAAAACCAGCTTAAAATAGCAAAAAATACCATATTTGGCGAGACTACTGTTACCATGGAAACAATATTATGTTCAAGAATATTGCAAATTTTTTCTACTAAATACTTAATTTATACTCGGGAATGCTTAAAATTAATAGATGAAGTGATAAAATTTATAAATTAAAATTTTTACGCAATAAGGTATTTATACTACGGAACTGTATGGAGCCACCTTAAAAACAATTCAGTACTTACTATACTTATAAATTTCACTTCTGTCTTACATGTAACAATTTTTACGTTCTGTAAATTATGCATGGAAACAACAATTGCTATTTATATTATAATATTCTAATTTCACAATAGTGCTTTAAAAACTTTCAGTATAATCCTTAAAGTATAAACCGATTAATATTTGATCAGCTAAGTGTTTTACGAGTCTATCTCCTGTATTCTAAAAAGCTCACTCACACTCATACTCAAAGAGTGGAGATTCAATCTGAGCTGCCCTTGAGTGTCAATGTTGTATTTGAATAGCTGGAAGGGTAGTCACATAGTAAGGTACCACACTAACCCTCCACCTATTCAAAAACAGCACTGACACTCAGGAGAAGAGGCTCAGACTGAACCTCCACTCTTTGAGAGTGAGCTTTTAGAATGCAGATGTAGATAAACAAGACTTATTATAACAATATGTATCAATTCATTCTAAACTACGCCGCATGCCCTAACTGGCCACACGTCTGGGCAGCGTTGACGGATTCTTCTTGGCCTTTTTTGGATACAAGCTCAAATAAACCCTATATTCACTATTTTTCGAGTGTCATGATTTTCGACTTCATTTAAAGCAAACTATCTTTTTAATGATTTGCGCTATTCCCGCCTTTAGAAATGTATCTTTAACCTTTATTTAGTATTTTAAAAGTTTATTTGCATAGCATGACCAGTTGCTAAAATATATTTTCTAGTGCTTTTCAACCTGTAGTACATTTATGAAGTACATAATAGCAATTGTTTCCAACGTAAAAAGTTGTTAAATTAGCGGGATGCGAGACGCGTCCTTATTGTTCTTCAATGCATAATATTCTAATTTAACAATAGTGCTTTAAAAGCTTCTAGTATAATCTTTAAAATAAAATGAAACAATTAATATTTGATCAGCTAAGTGTTTTACAAGTTCAAATAAACATTCAAGACTTATTAACAACACACGCATCAATGCACTCGAACTATACGTCGCATGCCGTAATTGGCAACAGATCTGGGTAATTTTTGATAGAATCTTGGCCTTTTTTGGCTGCAAGCTCAAATTAATCCTATCGTCATTATTTTTCGAGTGTCATGATTTTCCACTTTATTCAAAGCAAGCTATTCTGGATGGTGTTGCTATATTTCTCTATCGTCCTTGGTGCTTTTGGAGAAGAAGCGAACGGAAATGACCAATTATATTTTAAAATGAAACAAGGTGCGTAATGAAACTCAATACTTTGGCGACATGTATTTGCAAGCGCAGAATCGAAAATGAAACCAATCTACCTATTTCCTATTGAACAAAATTTTGATCTAGTCAAGTGTAGACAAACATTTCGCCACAGCTTGAAATAACACCACACAATTAGTAATATTCCGAAGTTTCGTTGCGAAATATTGTAAAATGCGAATAATATAGCCCTGCGAAGATTGCCGTTTTTCAGTCAGTTTGTATTACGCACGGGAAATTGATACCGCTTTCTGAAAAAAGGTATCAATTTCTCGCGCGTTATTTCTTTCAAGCTGTGATAAAATTTTTGTCTAGACTTCTCTAGATCAAAATTTTGTTCATTAGGGAACAAGGTCGCAATGTTTTGGGCGTCATATAGACGTCCAGTTATAAACATCACTGACATAACGTTTTTCAGGTATTCGATCTCAGCGCGAAGCATACATGAGCTTAAGAGCAAAGACAGCAATGGATTGTGTCTTGTTTTGCTTCGAGGAAAAACGGACTTGCACGTCTCTCAATTATGCCGAACCCACTTTGGTCAACGATGGCGAGGAAAATTGTGAACTACATGAGAAAACGAAGAATGATGATGACAATTCATTGGAATTCCTGAAAGATGATAGATACACCTTCTATCAAAACACACAGAAGACAGAAAATGCAACTGAACAGGTATATACATCTACCGAAATTTTCCCTTTTACGATAGCGCATGCAGGAATGAATGAATGAAACTTTTATTCAAATTTCAAAGGTAGCCGAACTTATTATCTATACTGTGCTGAGTGGTTTTATTAATACCTAAAAAAAAAACAAGCAAAAACTCGACGTTTCGAGCGAAGGCCCTTCGCAGATTGCAACAGTTGCAATCGTCTCAGTTTAGCAGGCCTTTCTTATTACCAGTTCGTTTAACGATTAAATTGAATCTCCAACAGCATAACCAAAACATGAGAGTCCGTTCAGGAACTTAATTACTCAGAAAAAGCTGTTTTTGTAGGGAAAGTTACGATCGTTTTTTAGCGTTGGTTCGTCTGATACATAAAACAAACAACTGTTGAACTAAATTTCTTTTAGCCAAACACACCTCCATTAAACAGAAGTTGTCTTGACCATTTCAACCATGGTAGTAAAACATCCGGAAATTACACCATCCTTGATTCGAGAGAAAATGCTCGCACAGTGTATTGTGATATGGAGTCGGAACCGGGATCTGTTTGGACCCTCGTTATGTCTTTCACAAGAGCAAACAAAGATCTTGCACCATTCAAAAAGAAAGCAATGTATCAACCCGCACATCAAAACAGATTCGATCCAAACTGGTCCGATTACCGAATGGGCACATCATTAATTGCTGCTTTAAAGAACATGACAACTCACTGGCGAATTACATGCAGTTTTCCTCAATATGGCGTCGACACCAAGACTGACTATGTCCGAGCCGTGTTCGCTGATTTTGATCTCTTGAGTGAATTTTCGGGTGAATGCAAGAACGTGAGCTACATAAGTGTCATGGGGCAGTCTTGTTCGAAATGTACCGCACAGTGGACACATATTACCTACTATACCCCGCATATCGCTGCCATGCAAAACGACTCAGCTTGCGACATAAAAAGTGATAAAAGTGGATACCACTATTTTGGTGCGTACGACAATTACAATCTCAATTTTCGTTGTACGGAATCTTCAAATTCAACAACGAATTACTGGTTTGGTTCTTATGTTTGAGACGCAGCCTCAGCGAGCCACAAAAGTTGAACACTATATGGAACTCTTGGATATTGACTGCATTGCAGTAACAATATATCAGTATTATTTAGATTTAATTTAATGCAAACTATATCAGGGGCGGATCCAGGATTTTTCGTACGTTAGTCAAAGTTTTCGGATGTACAATCTAGTTTTGCGGGAGGCGAATGCGCGAGGCACCTAGGGGGGGGGGGGTCTCCCCCAGGAAGTTTTACATTTTTAAACCTCCGAAACGCAATTTGCATCACTCTGAAAGCAGCTTCAACAAAAAAATAACTTCATGAAATGGGAGATAATTATAGCAACTATCAGTCTGACTGACTCTCACAACTCGCTCCTTAGGGAAAAGTAAAGGAGAAGTACTTGCAGAAATGTGATAAATGTGGAAGATGCTTCATTTTATCAAATTACGGATTGCTGGTATTATGTTTAATTAACTATCTCATGATAGTACTACACTCATTTTTGTTGCCTAATAGCCTTGTTGAGTCATTGATCACTTGACTAGTAATCACTACAGGGTCATATTACTCAAATAAACATATCAATATTTTAACATTCATCTATAAAACCTGACCTTTATATCCTATGTACACTGCATTAATGCATTTATATAGGTTATCCTCCATATTAATAGCCTTCTCAGTTCTGACGGACCTTCAACCGCACAATTACAAATATGAAAATTTGTTGTGTAAATCAAAATTCATAGCTAAATCTAAATCAAGATACGCGTATTCAAGTTACAATTTTACATATGCATGGCGCGCATCTTGTTCGCTTATAAATATTCTTATGTTGTCTAAAACGAAATAAAATTTACATATCACATTAAATTTACCTTATTGCACTTCAGAATAAAGATCTCGGCGCCAATACTTCTACTCAAACAGTCAAACTGTAGTTCGTGCTATTCGTGGCGCTTACGCCGCTTAGCAACTGCTCACTGAATGGAACTCTCCGATATTTAGCGTTGATTTTCCTCCCAAGATCAGCGCAACAGTCTTGTAAGACAGCTAAATTATTCACCGCAAATGCGGATTGAACCGTTTTGTGAATACTACAAGGACTGAAGTCTGGAGCAGCAGACATTTCCGAATTTTCCGTAGATATCTTTAAATTGACTCTTTCGACAAAGCTACAACATGACACTTCGAATGAGCGCGCGCTCGGAAAGATTTTACCACGCGTCAAATATTAATGATATTCCGACTTATGAAGCGCCCCTGACTTTGGTAAATCGGTCAGAACTCCCCACAGATCAGTCAAAATCGCAATAAATCGCTTGTTACCATGGCAATAAGCGTCTAGACCAATCAAAACACTGGATTTTGACTTTTTGACTGACCGACTTTGCGTATGTCAGCTGCTCATTGACTTGACTAAGCTCGTCGGCTCAACCACTGTATGAAATTTGATCACTGGACTACAGTTCGATTGGAATGTTAATTGCTAGCGCTGCATGATAATATATACTGGACTATTATAAGGTGTCGCTGCATGGTAAAAAATAACTGGACTATTTGTCGAATATTTAAGACTTTAACTAAGTTTGCAATTTTTACGTTAGTCGCGTGACTGATTTGACGACCCCTAAATCCGCCCCTGAACTATATTATATATATCGTAATTGTAGACTGGTATTGCATGTATCTGTATGTATATGCGCAAGAGCAGGTGAATTATCACAGCTACATGAATTGCATGAAGTATTTGCGTCGCTGCTTTGAATTTAGTAGGATTGTAGAGAAAGGACGCCAGTTTTTTTTGGCAACTGCTTTCTGTATTTGGCACATAACTTTTATTCACAAAAGTTAATGTTGAACACTATGGAACTCTTGAACACAATAGAACACTATGAATATCGACTGCATTACAATAACAATATATCGGTGTTATTGAGATTTGACGCAAACTAATGTAGTACTATTATATCGTATAAATTTTTGCACGAATCATTTCACCCGAATGGCCGAATTATCTTCATTCTCCCCAGTATTTTCGAATTTCCTTCGTTTTCTGGATTATTGGGATGGGAATTGCCTCAGCCTATGCTCAACCGTATATAGTGCCAGTAGCGAAGCTAACCATAACAACAGGTTATGCCATGCAAATTTTCAATGATTTGCATTATTCAAACCTTTAGAAATGTATCGTCCATAGATATCTTATATACACTAGATAGTGCATCTAATTATTCTGCAATTCAAAAATTGAAGCCGTGATTGCAGACTCAGGATATCCCCATGAAATGAGAATACTCGTATGTTTTCTATTTCTTAAACAGGGAACTTAAACATTAAGTTAAACCTATTCCAAATACATTTTCAAACTATTCAAATGATGAAAGTTATTGTTGTATTTTAAGCTTTTATTACTATTAGCGAGTGGGAAACTCCAACATGGCCGCCATCTATTCAAATGGAGGTAACCGCTGGAATATTGGCTTCAATTTTACTAAAAGAGATGCGATGCGCTATCTAGTGTATATAAGATATCTATGGTATTGTCTTCAACCTCTATTTAGATGAAAGTTTATTAGCATAAAATGACCAGTTGCCATGGCTAACCTTGCCACTGTGGATAAAAATATATTTGCTGATATGCAATTCAACATGTAGACGTGTAGTCACTTCAGAACCCATAGGCGTATAGACTGGAGGGGGGGGGGGGTGCACAGCCCCCCCAAACGTTTTATGGTTGGGCAAAAATCCATGCGTGATTCGGGCAAAACGTAATGTTATGCCCGGAAATTTTTTTAAAAATTTTGGTATGTTTGCGAAAATTACGGTATATTACGGAAACATTTTGGGAGAAATATTAATTAGCGACGGTCGCGCAAAATGATACTGTGCCCCCCAAACAAGATTAGGCCCCTACGACCATGTCAAAACCTATATCCATAAGTGTCTACACTTAAAATTTTAAGTATAAATACGTAGCATAATAGCAATTGTTGTTTTCATGCATAATTTACAGAAAGTAAAAATTGTTACAAGACAGAAGTGAATTTATACCGTTGTAATTTTGCTATAGATGATCTACACGTTATCAGGCATTTGTTATTTTTCCTTGATGACGCGAGATGCTACCATACTGTTCTTCAATTTATGTTACAATTTTCTAATTTTACAATAGTACTTTAAAAGCTTTTAGTATAATCTTCAAAATATAATGAACCAATTAATATTTGATCAGTTAAGTGTTTTACAACTACACGTCTAGTACCGGCAATTCATTCTAAACTATACGTCGCATGCCCTAATTGGCGACATGTCTGGGTACAGCGTTAACGGATTCATCTTGGCCTATTTTGGCTAGAAGTTCAAATAAATCCTATAGTGCTATACTCGTTATTTTTCGAGTGTTATGATTTTCGACTTCATTCAAAGCAAACTATATTCTTTTTAATGATTTGCGCTATTTAGTCATTATGTATTCATAAAATGACTACAGGTTGAAAAGCACTAGTTAGCAAGTTTATTTGCAGAGCGTGACCAGTTGTTAAAATATATTTACTATTGTGTTTTTCAACCTGTAGTCATTTTATGAATACATAATAGCTTAATAGCAATTCTTTCCATGCACATAGAATTTACAGAACGTTAAAAGTTGTTAAATTAAGCGGCATTCAATTGTTTAAGCAAGATGCAAGACGCGTCCTTATATCGTGTTCTTCAATGCATAATATTCTAATTTCACAGTAGTGCTTTAAAAGCTTCTACAATCAGTGACAAAACACTATGGACAAAATAGCAAAAAAGCGTACATTTACAACATAATCGACCCCCCGCACCCCCCCGTTCAATGTTGTGTGTGGGAATACCTGCGCAAAATGTCCCTTGCCAGCGACCCAACATTGTATAGGGTGGGGGGAGGGAGGGATAGTGTTTATGCTGAACAGTATTTGGAAATGCGGAGATATGTATATATTATACCACTGTCCAAAAACCTTTTGTCACTGATTGTAGTATAATCTTTAAAATATAATGAAACAATTAATATTTGATCAGCTAAGTGTCTTACAAGTTTAGACAAACATGCAGCACTTATTGAAACAATACACGCATAATGCACTCCAACCATGCACACGCCGCATGCATGTCATAATTGACAACAGTCTGGGTATAAAGCCTGCCGCACACGAGAGCTATCTGCTGAGCAAAAAGTTACTCGTGCCTGTTAGCTCAGCCGATAGCTCACCGTGTGCGGGTACATTTTACTGAGTTTTTTGCCTCATGCAACCTTTTCTCACGTATCAAACATGTTTGATCGGTGAGCTATCAGCTGAGCTAACAGGCACGAGTAACTTTTTGCTCAGCAGATAGCTCTCGTGTGCGGCAGGCTTAACATTCCCATTTTTTTCATGAAATCTTGGCCTTTTTTGGCTGCAAGCTGAAATTAATCCTACTTATTATTCTTCGAGTGTCATGATTTTCCACTTCATTCAAAGCAAGCTATTCTGGATGGTGTTGCTATACTTCTCTATAGTCCTTGGTGCTTTTCGAGAAGAAGCGAACGGGAATGACCAATTATATTTTCAAATGAAACAAGGTGCGTAATGAGACTGAATACTTTGGCGACATGCACTTGCAAGCGCAGAATCGAAAATGAAACCACTTGAAATTAATATAAGTAAACCTGGCACGTTCAGAGAAAACTTAGAAAGTGTTAATCTCACTAGATCTCAGAATTATGTAAGTAATAATGTGGTGTTCATGCAAATATAAAGTCAAGTAACTTGCTCAAAATATTTTGTGGATGTGCCCCAAAATCGTAATGTTTTGGGCGTCATATGATGACGTCCAGTTATAAACATCACTAGTGACATAACGTTTTTCAGGTATTCGATCTCAGCGCGAAGCATACATGAGCTTAAGAGCAAAGACAGCAATGGATTGCGTCTTGTTTTGCCTCGAGGAAAAACGGACTTGCACGTCTCTCAATTATGCCGAACCCACTTCGGTCAATGATGGCGAGAATTGTGAATTACATGAGGAAACAAAGAATGATGACAATTCATTGGAATTCCTGAAAGATGATAAATACACCTTCTATCAAATACCTGGAGGATCACACGAATCAGAAAACACACAAAAGGCAGATAATGAAACTGAACAGGTATACATTTACCTTGCTTTTTGGCTTTCAGGCCAATTCTGTTGCGATTGGAAGTGAAGTCAGGCTATTTCCATTTTCCAACAATGGGAAAGAAACGCACTTTATCTAGTATGCACGAATTTATTACTCACTTTCAGAGTGGGAAAGTGTGTTCCAGCAACAGCTAGTATACAGTTGCAACGAGGTTGTAGTCGTCTCAGTTTGGCCTTGACTGCAGGTCTTGTTGGCGAGCCTTTCTTATTGTCAATTCGTTTAACGATTAAATTGAATTTACCACAGCATAAACAAAAAGTGAGAGCTGTCAGTTTTTCGACACATAAAACAAACAATTGTTCCAAATTTCCATTTAGGCAATCAGACCAAGTTGTGTTGACCATTTCAACAATGGTAGTAAAACATCGGGTAATTACACCATCCTTGATGAGCAGCAACAACCTATCACAGTGTATTGTGATATGGAATCCGAACCAGGATCCGTTTGGACACTGGTCATGTCCTTCACGAGAGAAAACAAAGATCTTAAATCATTCAAAAAGAGAGCAATGTATCAAAATGGAGCAGAAAACGAATTCGCTCCAAATTGGTCCGCATACCGAATGAGTTCGTCATCAGTGGCTGCTTTAAAGAAAATGGCAACTCACTGGCGAATTACATGCAGTTTTCCTCAATATGGTGCCGACACCCAGACTGACTACGTCCGAGCTGTGTTCGCTGATTTTGATCTCTTGAGAAAAAGTAAGAATGAATGCAAGAACGTGAGCTACATAAGTGTCATGGGGCAGTCTTGTTCGAAATGTACCGCACAGTGGACACATATTACCTACTATACCCCGCATATCGCTGCCATGCAAAACGACTCAGCTTGCGACATAAGAAGTGATAAAAGTGAATGCTACTATTTTGGTGCGTACTTCACTTACAATCTCAATTTTCGTTGTACAGAATCTCCAAAATCAACAACGAATTACTGGTTTGGTTCTTATGTTTGATATGACTGCATGAGACGCAGCCTCAACGAACTACAAACGTTGAACACTATATGGAACTCTTGGACATTGACTGCATTGCAGTAACAATATATATTACTATTATTTAAATGTTATGCAAACTAAGGTAGTATCATGCATATATCGTAATTGTAGACTGGTATTGCGTGTATCTGTATGTATGCGCAAGAGCATGTGGATTATCACAGCTACATGAATTGCATGGAATATTTGCGTCGCTGGTTTGAATTGTAATATATGATTGTGGAGAAGGGACGCCAGTTTTTTTTTGTGCCAACTGTTTTCAGTATTTGGCACATAACTTTGTACATATTTCATTCACAAAGTTGTTGAACACTATGGAACTCTTGAACACAACGGAACACTATGGATATCGCCTGCATTACAATAACAATATATCAGTGCATGTTATATTGAGATTTGATGCAAACTAATATAGTATTGTATCGTATAAATTCTTGCACGAATTATTTCACTCGTGTCACCAATTCTGAACTCGGTATTACCGAGGCTGGATGATCATCTCCGCCATTTAACTTAAATAGTGTTCATGATCCTCACCCCGGGCTAGGGTTAGGGTGGGGTGGGGTGTGGGTCAGGTTCATTAGAACAGCCGATGAGTGGTATTATTCAAACGAAAACAAATTTGATCGTTTACTTTGAACGGCCGCCAGCAATCATCATCATGTCGTTAAATGATATAAACATGCCTGTATAGCTACATCTCGCTTAAGTTTACGGCAGATGTTTGAAGAAAACATATCCATATAATGACCTGTTCAATAGCCAAAATTGTATAAAAGTTTTTTTTTTATCATATCCATTTATTGAAAACCATTAAAGAATAGGCCCCGTTACACAATACCGGCCTCGCTCACGACATCAACATATGCCCTTCAGGAGTAGTATGTCTGCCCACAAAATTCCCCGGCCCTTAAACTGTTTTATTTTGTCACACTCGCAATTTTGAGTGTTAAGATATTCTTGAAACCGTTAAATTCGATGTCGTGACAAGCGAATCCGCAGTATCGTGTAACTGCATGGGGCCTTGTTCGCTAAAATTGAAGATTGAAACTGCGATAAAAAAACGCCCTTAGTCTTAGGTGCTGATTACATGGTGCCGAACTGGCCCGGTTAACCGGGCTGACTCGTTTGTTTAGGACTTTACTGTGGTTTTAAAACTCGTGTAAAATAAATTTGCGATAAATAATTGGTTTATTATAGATGCAAAATCATCTTAAACCCGATTTAAAACTCATTTTGCGGGAAGATTTTCGTGACATTTTTCAGCCCGGTTAACCGAGCTGGCCCGGTCCATGTAATCAGCCCCTAGTTAATTGCAATACGCATGCTAATTACGACGGAAGAGTCAAATGAAATGAAAAATTGTAAAACATTTCTTGCGGATTATTGCCGCTCAGTTTAAAATTTGAAACTCAAGAATTTGTCGTTCGAAAGTGTATTCAGCTGAACGTCTTCGTATGACGGTAAGGAATTATTATTATTATTATCTTCACGATTTTAAAGCCGGTTACAGACAAGCACGCGTTTTCTATGATAAGTTTTCATATGACAAGTACTTTACTATATATACTAGCTTTACAACAAGTGCATTTGTCACAGAAAAAATGGCAAAGTTTACATTTTGTTCGCCTGTACGGGTCAACAAAGAAACTTTTGCAGAATAATTTGAGCACTCGCATGCGGTTGGTCAACGATCTATTGGCGTCTGTTCATATGAGCCGGACTAGCTCGTTTTGCCGAGCCACGTTTTTATTTGTTTCACATGAGACGGGCTAGGCCGGCGAGCGCTGTAGAAATTCCCGCGTGATTTTCGGCGGGAACGTAAAATTTGTTCCTATTTTGCAAAATCCTGCGTGTGGCCATGATAAGTTGTAATAATAATAATGCGTGTTTCTCTTCGCTTGATCTAATTCAGTAATATTTGACGCATTTTTAACAAATTTCTGTCTGTTGAAAAATTCTGATAGACGACCAAGTAATCCAACTCCCGTTGTTCTTACATAATGACTTCCAACAACATTCACCGCATAATGTTCTGGATCATATTGGGGATGAGCGTTGCCACGGGTGAAGAAGCCGAAGCATATGGGGATGGTGAGATATTTTATCAGGTCAAACAAGGTATTTAGAAAATTTATCAGTGAATTTTAGACCTACACAGCTCGTATTAATTAACTCGTGCGGCCAGTTTTGTGATGGCAATGAACCAATTCCCAAGGGAAGCGAAAAAATTGCTCGAGTTAACGGTGGCGGCTTTTGTCTATATATGTTAATAATTAATAAGGTGTAGTCGTGTCACAATTGTAAGCCATTACGATGTGAAGAACTTACAAAGTTTGTACAATACTGTCACCTAAGTTAAACAGTACCTATCGCAGTGATTGCGTGACGAGCTCGAGTACTTCGCAAATAAATTTAAACTGAAAAAAGATTCGTGCTTTATATAATATGTGAACAGTGAAACTAAGAATAAATCCCATAAGGCTGAGGCTAAAGTTTTCTGGACAGGCAAAGACTTTACGAAACGAACTAGATAAGCTAGATCAGTAATGATCGATGCAATTTGTTGAACATTTTCTCTCTTTATGGACTTGTATCACATTTGTACATATTATATATGCGGGTGGTACCCGCACACCCGCAGCTTTTCGTAACTCTGTCTGATTATATCACCTTTTTCCAGGTATTCGATCCCAGCGCGAAGCATTCATCAGCTCAAGAACGAAGACAGCATTGGATTGTGTCTTGTTTTGCTTCGAGCAAAAAACTTGCAAATCTTTCAATTATGCTGATTATACCTCTGTCAGTGATGGCGAGGAGAATTGTGAATTACACAATGAAATCAAGAATGATGGCGGAAATCCACTGGAATTCCTGAAAGATGATAGATACACCTTCTACCAGATACCTGGAGCATCACACGGACCAGAAAACACACAGACAACAGAAAATGCAACTGAACAGGTATCTATCTTCCTTTACCAGCAAGGAAATTGCAATCCCGTAAAGTCACGCTACATTTTCTATCCCCAACAATGGAAAAGAACGCATTAAACTAGCTCAGCAAGTTTCTCTCGTTTGTGGGTAGTTTTCGTGAGGATTTGACCTATCGGAGCCTTGAGGAAAATATCTATCGTGTTTGATATTTTTCACCTCGCGAAAAAAATCTCAACGTCTGCGGATGTTGCGAGCTTAGTGCTGAGCTGTTTGAATCAATGAGGAGCCATTATATAGTTTCGTCATGTGATTTTGAACAAAATGAAGGAAAATGCAAATGATTTTGTCAATTATGTTGTTGTTGAGTAGTTTTCCCACGCGAGGCGGTTAGCTCAGCCCTCAGCAAGTTTCTCTCGTGCGCGCCAGGCTTTAGTATATACCTTGTTAGTATTTTTGCACAAGTGAACATAACAAATCCTAGAGGTCGGGAATCGTTGAGTTAAGCCCTTTTTGAAAAAGGGCGTGGTCTTCGCAAAACAGGGCGTGGTCGGGGCTTAACTCGAAAAGGGCTTAACTCGAGGGGCTTAACTCGAAGGGCTTAACTCAAAGATTCCCGACCTCCAAATCCTACACGTTGATTGGTTAAATTTGACGTATTAAGGTTACAGGACACCCTTTTTGGCGTTTTGCGGAAAATCGCTACTGCGCGCTCAATATCAGTCCGATTTTCATCACATTTTCACCAAATGTTCTCCAGTGCATGCAAAATATGGTAAAGTTGTAAAATTAACAAACAATAAAATAATGTAAGAATTATTCAGGAAAATCTTAAATCGAGGTACCTTTACGCTTTTGAGTTGTGCTCCTGCTGGTTTTAAGTTATATTTATGAAAATATCATTTTTATACAGTAAAATAGTTGTTCTAAAAAAATTGTGTTCGGAAATTTTTGTTTATTTCGTCATTCCGCTGATATGGCGATTTCTTTGACGACTGCAATATATTTCTGAATTGTTTGAGTGAATTGCTCTTTATTTTTAAAATATCCAAAATTAAATAAAAGCCGAACACAATTTTGAAATTGACGTATTTAGCTATATCCTGTGAACATTTGAGAAAATTTGGTTAAAACCCGCAGGAGCATAACTCGTTTGAAAATCAGTAATTACCGTAAAATTTTTCGTGAGAAAATTGAATTGGAATATTACATTTTCAATGTCTTTTCTTATTGCAGCGAAATGTATTTTACTAAATAACTCGAGTTTTCAACATTTTTCGTTCAAACTTGGTCAGATAGTAGAACTAGTCTAATGCTTTCATTGAAACCAATAAAAAAATTTTAGGCAAAATTAACCCTCAAAGGTGTTCTTTAACCTTAAGCTATTATATTCATGCCCTACAGGTAAATATAACAAAATCGAAATTTTCAAAATTGTGGAAGTTACTGATAAAGAAATAAGCGAAATTAAAACAAATTCAGGCCAAAAAACACAAAAGACTTGTGTAAAAATACTAAAACAATTATTCGCCTCAGGCTCGGTGATTATCGGGAATATTCACCTCGACTTCGTCTCGGCGAATATTCCCCGATATAATCACCTCGCCATCGGCGAATAATTGTTAATTATTACGAATTTATTTTTATCCGTTCTTCTTACACCTTCTATCAGATACCTGGAGCACCACATGAACCAGAAAACACACAGACAATAGAAAATGCAACTGAACAGGTATGCATGCATCTATTTTCCTTTACCAACAAGTATATAATTTCAATCCCGTATAGTCAGACTATTTTCTATCCAACAATGGGAACTACGTCTACGAGCTAGATTCACTATAGTAGTTATACCTTGTTGTTACCAATTTGTAATCAGATCCCTGGAACATCGCTTGAACCAGAAAACATACAGACAACAGAAAAGGCAACTGAACAGGTATACATCTATCATCCTTCGCCAGCAAGTAAATTCCAATCCCGTATATAGTCAGGCTATTCTCTATCCAACAATGGGAACTACGAGCTAGATTCACTATAGTAGTTATACCTTGTTATTACCAATTTGTAATCAGATCCCTGGAACATCGCCTGAACCAGAAAACATACAGACAACAGAAAAGGCAACTGAACAGGTATTTCAAAATGGAAATTTCAAATGTAATTTTTTTACATTTATTTAAACCTTACCAGGTGCAGTTGCAAAAAGATGCAACCATATAGACCCAACACCGCGGAAAAACGTCTGCGCATGCACCAAATTATGAAAATATGGCGGGGAATTTTAATATCAATTTCTAAAACAAAAACATGCTTATTAATTGGTCAAAAATTAGTAAAACAAACGAGAAAATATAGCAAATGGGTAGACTAGACATTAATTGAAAGCGTCCTGGCATTTAAAGTATGGAATGAAATATAATTCATGTAAAAAATTGTTGATTTTAACGGACACGACTTCGAAAATTTTTGCAAAATTATTCAAAACAAAAATTCAAACTAAAAAGTTAAGAAAACTCTCGAAAAGTTAAGCTTCTTAACCCACTCAAATTGTAGAATAAATCCTAAAGTTTAATTATTGTGAACACGAAAATTTTTTATGTTTGGCGACACAGTTTTTTTTAAAGAAATGTATCTCAAACGAACATTCGGAAATTGTCGTTGCTTAGTTGATAAACAAAATGTTTCAGATGATAAATTTGTCAACAATCACCTTTAGTTCATGTTCTTGTACAATACAATTTCTTGAACCTTCTGGCTGTATTTATTCCTAGTTTTTAGAATGACATGTTTATTTTTGCGCTCGAAATCTGGCTGTAAAGACGCACAATGAAGTCACTCCTTTTTACCGCCATTTTGAGCCTTCGGAAACGTTCGGAACAGCTTCTCGTCAAGTTCGCAATCATATGTTCGCAATACTATTACAGGTAAGGTTGACGCATGCGCAAACGTTTTTCCGCGGTGTTTATAGACCCTCTGGCAGAATCGAATCTGCGGCCCTGCGATTTCAGTGCAGTGCTCTGTAACCAACTGAGCTACTATAATTTTTATCCCTAATTCTTCTATAGTCACCAGCAAATTCGCTCAGTATAAAGTAACCCCGTCAATGCGGGCAGGTGTTTTTATTGTGGCAGTTGCATGCATTCGCTTTCTGGCGTTAGTTGCTTATACGAGGGTCCTGAAGGGGTAAAATGGGAACTGGGATTGATCTATTTTTAGACTGGGAAAATGGGATTTGGGTTGCTGGGACTGGGATTTGGCCACTGGGAAATGAAGTCCTCAAAAATGGGAATGGGATTGAAGTAATGTGAGTCGATTCCCAATTTTGATCCGTTTTTGGTGCCTTTGGTCATGATTTTTGTCGTTATATTATACTATATTATTCACAGCACTACCTGCGAACAGGCATACTCTGGCGCCCGGAATTCTGGGTTTTCTGATTATGCGTGTCTCAGAATGCTGCAAATGCCATTTCCGGGATTCAAATTTAGAAATTTTCCGTGCCTTTGGCACGAGCCCCCCCCCCCAATATTTCATAAAGTGTCCGCCACTTGCACACACGGTGGCTTAAAAGGTCTTAAAACTGTTTATTCTACCGATAAATAAAGGGTTGTTTATTGACTGGGATTTCAATAACTCGGACTGGGATTTCTAATAAAAATCCAACTGGGACTGGGATTTTGCCAAAATTTCAGGTGGGAAATGGGATTGGGACCCCCCCCCCTTCAGGACCCTCTTATACAGCAGTATATTCTACATGCTCTACTTTGTTACTGCTAATTCGTGCAATAATTTACTTGAATTCATTGTTAATATGAAGTGAGAGTTGTCAGTTCTCTGACACACATACTGAACAAGTACTATACATGCATGCAGTTGTTCTAAATTTCATTTCAGGTAAAAAAACCTTCACGAAAGAGAAGTTGTCTTGACCATTTTAACCATGGCAGTAAAACATCGGGTAACTACATCATCCTTAATCAGGAACAAAAACCTCGCACAGTATATTGTGATATGAAATCTGAACCAGGATCAGTTTGGACACTCGTCATGTCCTTTACGAGAAAAACAGAAATATTGATTCATTCAGATCGAAAGCAATGTATGAAGGTTCCCCAAAGAACGGTGATACTCCAAATTGGACCAACTACCGAATGGGCTATCCTGTAATGCTTCATGTAAAGAGCACGACAACTCACTGGCGAGTTACATGCAGTTTTCCTCAATATGGAGTCAACATCAACACTGCCTACGTTCGAGCTGCGTTCGCTGATTTTAATCTCATGGGAACATTTTGGAGGAAATGCAAGAAAGTGAGTCATATAAGTGTCATGTGACAGTCTTGTTCAAAATGTACCGCACAGTGGTCACACAATGATAAGTTTACCCCCCATATCGCTGCAATCACTCAAAACAACCCTTGCGACATAAAAAGTGATAAAAGTGGCTACCACTATTTTGGTGCGTACGACACTTACAATCCCAATTTTCGTTGTACGGAATCTTCAACATCAACAACGAACTACTGGTTTGGTTCCTATGTTTGATACGAATTCAGCAGTTGAGCAATATGTGTGGAACTCTTGGATATTGACTGCATTACAAAAATATACATTTCAGTATTATTTAGATTTGATGCAAGCTAATGTAGCATATTATATCGTAATTTTTTGCACGAATTAAGGCTGGTTTACACTATATCAATGTTTCTGTGAACACATGCAGTAGGAATTTTGGGTATATAGGTAATTTGTAAGAAATGTTTGAGAGAACTGACTCGATGTTTAACACTGAGTCAGTTCTCTTCAAAACGTATTATTTATCAATGCAAAAGTCCTACAGAGATTGTGATAGTGTAAACTATATAGCTATCCCTTATGTACCCACATTGTATATTGGTATTGCACCTATCAGAATGTAGCTACCTCCTATATACGTGAGGACCACGAAGACTCGTAGCTTTAGGCTCGTTTAGTCGTTTACATGCACTCGCAACTTTTGCTGCGATTTCTAGTGCGATTCTCTCCTTCTGATGGATGTGAACGAGCGGATGAGTTATGAATACTCTGAGTATATGCATACTATTAAAGAATATATTGTAAGGAATTTTAGCCAAGGTATATTGGCTAACAATTTAGGAGATTCTTTCCAGGGGTTAGTGGAAAGTTTCATTAAATTTTTATGGAGGATTGTAATGAAATAACATGAATATAACACGTCTTAATTGTAATAAACTTCCAGAATTATCTTGATTTTCCACAATATTTTCAAATTTCCTTCGTTTTCTAAATTATTCAACCCTCGAAATTCGCCTCGGCACTCGGCAATTGCCGACGCAAATGCCGAGGCAAGTTACGATTTTTCATAGTTTGCCTCGGCAAAAAAATGCCGAGGCAATTCCACCCGTTGTACCTTAAATTACAAACTACAGCGTCTGTTCGTTTTTTTGCTTAAATTGACAAACTACAGTGTTCGTTTTTTGTATCACTTCTTTGTTCGAATTGTTGTCATCGACGTCGGGTGAACAGAAAATTTCATTCATAGCTACTTTACAAAATATTTAAATTTGAGCTTTTCATCGTCGGCTTCGGCTGAAATAAAGAACAACCTTGATGGTTTAAAGACGGCACGTCGAGAAACTTTGTTTTATCTTTTAGACTGTCGCGTTTTTACCGTCAAGTTTATTCTTTCATTCTTTCAAGTTTATTATTCAACATTTTGAAGTCAGGAACTGCCGACATGAATGCCGAAGGGTGCCGAAGTAATTGCCTAAGGAATTTAAGGTGATTTCATTGCGGCAAAAAAATTGCCGAGGCAAACTCGAAAATTATCAAAAGACTTCGGCAATTATTTGCCGAGGCAAAAATAGTTGAATTTCGAGGGTTGTTATTGGGAGGGCAATTGTCCCTTGCCTCCCTGCCTCGTACGCCTATAAGCTATATAACTATAAAGTGGCGAGCTAGCCATAGCAACAGGTCATGCTATGCAAATTATTAATGATTTGCATCATTCAAAACTTCTGGGGCCGGTTGTTCAAAGGTAGATTAGTGCTAACCCAGGGTTAAAATTTAACCCACTGTTTTAGTTTGCATATTTCTACATGTCTATTTATTTCAAAATATCAGAAAAGAAAACTTCAATTGATCCAGACATGAGTTGTGAAGAAATATTTCCAAATTTATAAACAAGCTGTCAGGAAGTTTGCTTTGAATTTTAAGTTAACCTAGAGTTAAGCTAATCGGCTTTTGAACAACCGGCCCCAGAAATGTATCGCCTTTAACCTATTTAGATGGAGTTTATTAGCATAGCATGACCAGTTGCCATGGCTAGCCGTCGCCACTGCATATAGATATATAAAATACATTCGCTGGTGCTTTTCAACCTGTAGCCATTTTAAAATCTATATCTAGAAGTATCTATATTTAAAATTCTAAGTATGAGTGCATAATAGATTAATAGTGTTTGTTGTGTTCATGCACATGCATGCACTTTACAGAATGTAAAAAATTGTTAAATTAAGCGGCATTCAATAGACAACTTGCATGTTAGACTAATTTTTGATTGAGGCAAAAATATATAATGCCCGTAATGAACTTATTAAAATCAGTTAAATTGCAAAATTTGGTTAGGGAGCGGTCATTAATTATTGGGGGGGGGGGGAGGGCCGGTAAATT